ACTTGATAAAGTTCTGCATTGACAAGCCATCAAAGAACCTGTGCACCAAAAGCGGCATAATAACATCACCCAAGACAAATGTGAAAGACTTGCGGAGATCATGCCAGGACGCATGAAAGCTATATTTAAAAAAATAACGATTATTCCACCGAGTTTGGATTTCTGAGTTCCTCCGAAGAGTATTCTGTTGATTAAAAATTAATATGAACTTGTTTTCATTGCCTTATTCAGTCTGAAAAATACAGCATCCTTTTGCTATCTTAACCAGTTGTCATTTTCCGCCAATAAAAAGAGTTGAATGAGAATATCTTATTGCGAGTGATTAAGTCTGGAGACATAAATGTTCATTTGACTCAAGCTAAAAACTTTAAATGGTAGAACCAGAGAAAAACAACATATTTTTGCAGTAGTCTCTTAATCCTTTCCAGAGCTGTATATATTTTACACACATTTGATAGGAGAGAGTTCTCACAGGAAACCTCCACAACAAGGTCAGTGGATTATTCCAAATAAATACGTCCCTGTTTAATCAGGACTCGCTTTCACACTTACACATTAGTAGTGTGAACCATGGCACTGATGAAAAAGCTTGTGTTTTGGCCCTCAGTTGGCCCTGATTGAATTAATGATACCATATCTGCCCTCTTTTACTATTCAATGGTCATGTTTAGCAACCCGCCCCCTCATTAGCTTTCAGCATTTCCTGTGCTATTATGTGTAATAGGGCATCTTTGTGTTCTATTTTTACACTGGACACTCATCAGTCATTGGCAAATATTCACACAAATGCAGCACAATAACCTGTATGTGAGCTTTTCATGCACATTAGTGTGAAGAACGTGAGCCTGAGTGGGTGTGTGGCCACCACAGCACAACAGACGGGGCTCATGTCATTAGTACTCAGTGGAAAAAATAAGTCTTTGATGTTTCCAATCCTTTTTCTTGTTTGATGGTGCTGGCCTTGTAGTTGAAGCACAAGAATCAAATGATGTATTTGTGTTATGAGGCCCTGAACCCCACATCAGTTAGCCCAGGCTAGTTGCCTGGAATATTCATATCAAAGTGAGAGACCTTTACAAAGCCGAGACAAGAGCGAGTGGAACAGTCAACCGCTTCCAAAAAACACCAAACAAACTCTGTCTTCGTGCAAAGGAAGCGTGTCGAGTCACATTTAGGGGACAAATCTGAAGTCTGCAGGTGTGAAGGGGCGACGATAAATCTTAGAGCTACACACTTGAAGACAACCTCTGAATGGAATGATGAATGAAAGAGGAACGCTGAGCCAATCAGGACAGCCCAAGTTTAACCAGGACCAAATATTTTGAGGATTATGAGGAGATGGAAAACATTACCGGGGAGAGCGGTGCCTGGTCCAACTTGCCAGAACAAATTGGATGGATGGATGGATGGATGTTTGTATTTTCCTCCGTTTTAGACGAATAAAATATCAAACGTTAAGCCTCTGATCTGTTACCATCTATTACTGACATGTTCTTGAAGCTTAATTTAAGATAATAAAAGAGATATGCTTCATGTATGTGTTTTCATTGAAATAACTGTTCTACTTTTAGCATTACATCACTGAAGGCTAATGAAATGAAATCAAATATCCATCACAAATGTGAATTGCAACTTCTGTCTTTGCACAAAAAGTTTCAAAGAGTCAGCAGAAAGGTTCTTTTTTTGGGGGGGGTCAATTTAACTTCTGACAAACAAAAGTTACATAGTTACTGTTAGGTGGGGGTTACAATTATGAAATCGTGAAACAGACTGTGGATCATCTTAGATTTATTCAGCCGTGGTCAGACAACACAGAAACACAACACACATGGCTGACAAAGTGCAGACCATCGCTGACCCATGCTGACCAAGATCTCACAATCATTGACAAACATTGGCAAAGTGGCCATCATGGGCAAAATGGCAAAGTGGCAAAGTCTTCATCACAGTGTTGCTTATATTCTGCTAGAAGGTACAGCCCACAAATTCCTTTCCATTTGGGTACATCACTATAAAACAATAAAGATGACATGACACTGATTTGTATACGTAACAGATGTAGACTCTCTGTCTAGCAAACAGTTGCTGACAACACATAGTTGGCTCCTATCCATTTATAGATCTGCTACTACTTAGGTGCTTCACCCATATAAGGTTAACGCTTCACAGACCCAAAAGTAGAATTACTGTGAGATGGTTGACAAAATTTAAAGATATGTCAACAAAATTGTCAAGATGAATGAATCCCTGAAAATACATACTAACAGTTACAGATACATGTTCAATAAGCTGTTGTAAGTCAGAGCCTTTAAAGGGCCTTAACTTTACATGGAAACTATTAACATAGATATTTGTGTGTTTTAGTACAGTCTCCATTCTTTTAGAAGATAATTTTCTGACCCAGTGTCTCGTGAAAAAAAGACTGACTGAAACTAACTACCAGCGGGAAAAAGGTAGTTGAAGAGGTTACATTGGACAAAGATGGGAAAACACACAATCATACGGTCTAACATTGATAAAAAACAACAACACACACACAAACACGGAACTGTAAACAAGTGACTGAGTGGCGAATATTGGAGTGTGAGATCTGAGGATGAAAGCAATGTGTTCCCTTTTCCCTTGATTCAAGATCATTCCTCTTTTATACAAGATTGAAGGTACCCGCAAGAAACCAGCAAATTTAAATTCAAGAAGACAAACCAGCACAATCAAACAAGGATCACCTGCAGGCAGAGACACTGAGATGAGACTGCTGTATGAAGGGAGGCTACACAAGAAAGATTAGCACAAATCAAAAAGGAGGGATTGGATACACCAGAAAAGCAGGATGAAGGAAGAAGGGAAGGAGGATGTGTGTCATATTATGAGGCTGTGTGTGTGCACATTCTGCTACCCCCGACACATCTTAACCATCTATTATTACATTAAACACGGAGGATCTCCATATTTGTTTCCAGGAATTCCAGTATAAATAAGCACCAAGTCCAACACATCATGGAATTGGGTGAGAGTAGCTCAGTCGGTCTTGGGTTGGCAACCGGAGGGTCATCACATTAGTCACATTACGGACCAATGTATGATGTATCACTTCCCAGCACTACCCGCCTCCACTCCACCTCTTCATAAGCCCAAAGTTAGTTTAAGTCAGCATTTCCAATAAGGCCATCGTTGAGCCTTATAAGGCCTCTTCAGAAAACAATAAGTGACATCACAGATACTGTGTCCATGTTTATACATGCTATGATATATACTCTGTATATCAAGGAGGATTTTCAACATCGCAGAGCTCAGTCAGGTAATCTGCACTATAAATAAACCTACTTGGAAAAGGAGGAGGACTGGAACCAGTCCTTATTAGGGCTTTGGTTTTAACACCAGCTTTGACTAAATCCAACCTAATATATCTTTTTGCCAATATTATGAGGCGAGGATGATAAGGGCTTAATGTATCAGTATGGGTCTTACTGTATTCTAAAGGCAAAGCTGTATGAAAAGGGAATATAGAGCAGCCAACAATGCATTAGATTTTAAATAGGTTAATGGTCAATTAAAGGTTAGCAGATTTTTTGTCAAGCTGAGGATGGTCAGTAGTTAACGATATTATCAGCACACGTCAAATTATCTCCCCAATGTATCAGTATCTGTCTCAGAAATCCAATATTAATAGGGCTTTAGCTCAAACAATACCCATTGTTATTGCTTCACCTTCACCCCCTCATTAAAGCCTCTCCCCGAGAGGTGACATTTCACGTCCCAAGTGTCAGTTTTCATAGCGAGGCCTTTCTGTCCTTCTGATCGAAATTGGCTCAATAAAAGTTACATGAACTCGCCAGATCAGCACAAACATTCAAGTTCTATCGATTGATTCATCACAGTTGTGCAAAGTTGTCTGCACTCTCTCAGCGTCACACATTGGTACACAAACAAATCCCTATGTCTCTTATCATCTATTTTAAGCAGCAAACACATTCTTATTTATACACATTAATGCTTTTAATCCAAGGAGAGAAGAGAGCCAAACTGGAGTCAACAAATGTCAAACGAAAATATGCCACAGGTCTCAGCCCTCATTAACTTTCTCCTCAAAGTTACGTGGGCACTCCCCTTACACGTATACATGCAGTAATGCACGTCTCCAAGCGCACACACACCCCCACACACACACACACACACACATTAAGCACCAGAGAGGTGTGACTTTAAGTCAGCACTCCTCTATTCCCTGGAGCAAAAAGTCAGGGTCTGCGCTGAGGTGATAAGTGCACTGGGAATTCACCCAGCAAAACACACATCCTCAAACACAGACAGAAAGTCACACAATGACACACCAGAATATAAATATAGATGTACTTTCACATTCAAGCACCAATAAAATTTCATTAGTATATAAATCCCATTGACTCAATATTATGAATAAATACTTTCACATTCTAAAGTAGTGTTTAAACTGTTGAGCTTCCACAGCGTGACAGAAAGAAGCAGAGGGATACATCCTCATACAGAATGCATGCTCATGCATTTATGCATCACCGTACCATTCGATTGCTTTACACCACCTAGGGGCCAGTTAGAGGTACTCAGCAACATCTAGTCTTACCTAAAGTGACTCCACCATGCATGCTACCAATGACACACGTGTGCATCCATGGGCTGCACTTAAAAGTGATGACGTGTTTTTAAATGCTTGAGCAGCTACTGAAGCTGAGAAGGTCTCCGAATGGCACGTAGTAAGTAGTTTTAAGTGTAGTAGTTAAGTGGAGTAACATTATGGTTAAGACTCCAAATGAATAGGTTCTGCTTTTGTTGAGTGTTTTAATTTTGTATAACGAGTACCTGTGTAACATGAAGAAAACCGTAAGGGCAGAGGAACAAAAAAAAAGACGGAGCAACTGGGAAAAAAGAGGCTTTGCAAATGTTGCTCTTTACTGAGAGTGTGTGAATGCATGTGTGTGTGTGTGTGTGTGTGTGTGTGTGTGTGTGTGTGTGTGTTGACTGACCAGTTTCTTCCTCTTGTCCTGCTCAGTTGGTGGCTCCTCATCATCACTCAGCTTGGGCTCCTCAAAATGGCTCATCAGCATGCAGCTGCAAACACAATAATATTTAACTCAATATTAATAAGCACACATAAATGCTCAGTAGGAGGCAATTTCAGAACAGGCAACACACACACACACACACACACACACACACACGCACGCACGCACAGAAAAAGGCTGATCCCTCTGGTACTCAGGGGCAAAGCTTTGTCTGCTGTTCATACGAGTTCATCTGCATACTGAGAAAATTACACACACAAGCTTTTTGCTCACTCCAAAGTCAGTGTGTGGTCTTCTGTTTGTCCTTTTTACTCCTCTCTGTGATTTGATTCAAAGTGGCGAGGTCTTTGAGGTGACATTTTGACAAAGCATTTGATAACTCACGAGCATCATGATAAAAGCTTTTAACTAAATACTACTTGAACTTCAACCGACGACATTTGAACTAATGTTCTAAATCGTTTGCTGGTGTTTTAGAAAAACTGTGTATTTAAGTGTTTTAGAAAATACTGTTCTGGATCATTCTCACTGATCCCATATCAGTGTTTTCAGCCGCAGCAGGCAGCTGTTCGCAGAAGAGGAACATCAAACAACACACAGACACATTTAGATACTAGCTGTTGAACATAGTGGAGCACTTGGCAGCAAAGAGCTGCATATTTCCCTCAGGAGTAGGTGACCAGAAGGAGAGCAAAGAGAGAGTGAATGTTGGACTCTAATTCGTCAGATGGACACATACAGGACTCAGATGAAAGCAGGTGTTGCTCTGAAGCTGCAAGATGTGTGTTAGAGTTTTCACATTACCACAATTTTAAACTTTGATACCATACTAGTAAAAATCTAACGGGAACCACTACATTTTTTTAGCAATCCTATAGGCACAAAATATCGGGCAATTTCTTGTTGTTTTTTTTCTTCCATTTTTTCTTGGCCTTTATTGTGGGGATAGGACAGTGGATAGTCTCAGAAATCAGGGAGAGAGAGAGAGAGAGAGAGAGAGAGTGGGGAACGGCATGCCGGAAAGAAGCCAGAGGTCAGATTTGAACCTGGGTCGTCCGCTTGGAGGACTATAGCCTCATTACATGGGGCGCACACACTAACCACTATACCACCAGCGCCCCTGCAATTTCTTGTTTTAATTACAAAAAATTGCATGCAAAATCCTACATACTGTCAAAATTGCACTAATAAATTGGCAATGTTTCTGTATCAAAATGATAGTCATCTATTTTCATGCAATTCAGACAGTGTCTCCTCCAATGATCTCCGTCTGTCTGTAAGAGAAATAAAGTTTTTTGAGTTTTTGCAGACCAGTGAATTTGAACAGACCACCGCTCCAAAGATATTGGATGCAGAAGTATCAAAATATCATTATTTTGAAAACCTCAATCTGTATCTAAGAAAGTGTTTGCTAACAAGTGAATGATATTGATTTACAAAATTGTAGTTTTTTTGACATTTTTTTTTTTTTTTAAACTTTTGAAATCAATGGAAACAAACTGCAACAATGTCTTCTGCAGTTCAAACTTCCTGATGAATACTTTTCTTTCAAATACTGATGTTTTAGTTTGGCAGAGTTCATAACAGAAGGCCTTCACAATAAGGAAAAAATATGCAATGCCCAATAATACTTGATAAGCATAGTACAATGTGATAACAAAAGTGCAATACATATTGAGTATTAGCTTTAAGCTTTGAGTATCAGTCTGCTGTTCTTCATGCTTTACATAACAGCTGTGTTTGCAACTAGTTTCTTATAAATTAAAAGGAATTTTTTTTCACTTCCTTATTGTCACCTATTCATCTGTGTAGTGTAGTAGATATCTTTTATTCTTATTCTACACCACGCAAGATCAATTCCAAACCACTTAAAGGACGAAAAGGGAAGTCTGTTTTTATGAATCCTAATGTCGTTCTTAAATACAAGCAGGTCTATAACAATACCTGCTGTTCTCTGTCTCAGCTGATTACCTTTACCAACAATGAATATAACTCAGAACATATGCATCCATAAACATGTCCCCCCCCCCCCCCTCCCTCCCTCCATTATAATTAACAGGGAAACAAATCAGCCCATCTCTTGTAACTAAAGACACATTTACTCTATCATGTCTTCTTTTCAATTCAGGTCACTCTGGCACCTCAGAGGATGATGGTGAGCATTTTTGACAGCAGTGAAAAGGTGTCTGCATGTAGGTTAACATCTTCTGAGAAATGAGAACCATGACACAGAGACAGAGGGGCGGAGGGCCGAGTAATGGGGTGGGGGAGATTCACAGCCCAAAAGGGGGCTGTGGTTAATCTCTACCTTCAAAGTGACCGAGTGTTTTTCTGGGCCATTTCACAGGCCCATTATTTTTGGAGAGAAATGTGTCCCGTCCGACACTCCCACTCAGCCTCCTTCAGCACACTGTCATGATCTGAGAGTAAGTGATTGCTTTAATATCAGGGATCTTAAAACTTTCTTCAGAGTTTTTTTTTTTTTGAGAAATTCTGACTTCAACAGAACATCTGCAATTGCTCTGCTTCAAGAGCTTTCCAAACAAACATTTGAGCTGTCTTCATTCATCACACAAGAGCTTTGTCAAAATTAGAAGCTTCTGAAACCCAGAGAAAAGAGGACTAGAGGGTTTGAGCTGCAAGTCTCAACTATTTAAGCCTTTAATTTGACCTGTTTTCCCTTTCCTTCAGTTAGAAATAAACATGCGCGCTTACTCTTTGAAGGTTCCTGTTTCGGAATCTTCTGTCATCACATCGTGCAGCGCCTCCACACAGATGTTGATGATGCCACAGAATTTGTCCTGGATCACACTGGTAAAAAACAAACAAACAGACTCATTACTCATCAGATAATTAATTCGACAGCTGTTTGTTTGTTTGTGTGTTTGAATGAGAGAGAGAGAGAGAGAGAGAGAGAGAGAGAGAGAGAGAGAGAGAGAGAGAGAGAGAGAGAGAGAGAGAGAGAGAGAGAGAGAGAGAGATGGGTCTTGTTCCAGAGGAGCAAATGGTCACCAAGAGCAGCTTAGCAGACCAGAGAGCATCAGTCAGCCTGAAAACTGAAAGTGATTAAAAAAAATAAATTAAAAAAAAACATACAAAAAAAAAAACCACATGGCAATGCAGGAAAAGTTGTTTTTATGTCATCCATAAATTATCTTCATGGCACAAATTTCCAGATTTTTTAAATTATACGTATCTCAAACTATTTAACCTTTGGAAGTGACACATTTCCAAACATTTGAGTAAAACAGAGAGTCAAAAAGAGAGACTGTTAGGGAAATGTAGGGCACACTCACACTAGACAATCTGTACTGTTTGACAAAGCATGTTTGACCCCCAACAGTCCAGTTAGTTTGACTAGTGAGAGTGCTCCAATCCCTGCTCAAGCCCTCACACTTCATTGGCCCTTGCATGGTTGGAAGGGGTGTGTTTCAGCATGGTACAGTTGCTCATGCACGAGCATAAGCACGGGTACACAACGTGAACATTAAGTATAATCAATCCCAGCCTTCCATTGTCAAGAAATCCTGGAATGTTCTGGCTGTTTCTGACCAAAAGGACTCAAAATAAGCCACAAAGTAAGCAAATGCTTTCATATTCTCTGTGTTGTTCTCTGATGTGTGGGCGCGGACTCAACCGTGTATCCCTTTTTATGTACTTTTATAGGCCCTGTTATTCCTGGAGCAGTGTGAGTGCAGGCTGGTGGGGGAACGGGTTCCTTCAGCATGGTACGGAGCAACTTTGCCTAGTGTGAGTGCGCCCTAAAACAAAGCCAATACCCTCAAGTTATAATCAATCAGTTTAATTCAGAATCAGAAATACTTTTTTTGATGCAGTGGGAAAATGTGTTTTTATCCAGTTACTCTTGTACACATTATAGCTGTAAGAGACAGCAATAGAACTAGGTACGAAATAAGAAATAAAATATTAAGTAAAAAGAAGCAGAGAGTATTCGAAGAAATAAAGGAGTTTGTAGAAATCACAGTACTGAACAACAGAGATTTGTACAGAGAATTGCACAGAAGCCGCAATGAAAACAATGTTATTCAGTTGAGAATCAGCAAAATATTAACCAACGATACTTATGGTCTTATTGCACCAGGACTCCAAACTTTTTATTGTGTCCCTGAGTCTTCCCAAGATGATGCATTTTAAAGCGTTGGGGATAGCTGAATGTTGAAGCTGAGATCTAAAAAATTTGGTGGCTCTCATAACCCACCACCCAGACTTGGAGACCAGCAGAAGTCATTGATGAATTATTCCCACCAGCATCATTTCTAGAAAGCACTGGAAAAGAAGTGACTTTTCCCATTTTCAATAGGAATGAAAAGCAGCGAGGGAAAAGAATACAAAGACACAAGGAGCGCGAGTGTGGGGGTGTGTGCGGGCACTGATGCATCAAAGGCTCTGTCAGTTCAAGTGCTGGGCTAGGTGGACCCCGGGCAATGCGGCAGAAAGTTCACTGAGCATGAAGTCTGGCAAGAAATGGAGAATCAGTGCATGACAGACACAAACCCAGCCAGTTTATACAGACCTCTCTCTTACTTCTGTGCTTCTCAGGGATATGCTCATAGTGTCTCTAATGCCATCAGAACTGGAAGGATGTGAGAGCTGAGCTATAGCAGAAGTGAAAAGTATACATCCAGCCGGTATATGACTTTGTAGCATAATCCTATTTTCCAATTGACATGAGGACAAATTGTAGTTATCCAGCTGAGACCAAATGTATAAACGTATATATGGGCTAAAGTCCCAGTGTATAAGAGGTTAGATATACGGAAAAGTATATTTAAAGTCTATATTTGGATGGACTTAAAAGAAAATTTGAAACTTTTCCAGGTGAATTTATGTAACCTGAGAGTGTAAAATATACAGACGTAAAAAACGGTCCCAAATTTCCCAAAAGTAGAGCCAGATTGGCATTCAGAGCACTGACTGGATTAAGATGTATTATTAAAGATGTTTTATCACATATTTAAACATGTCAGTCACTTGTAATTCCATCCAGTCCGACACCTCTGCAGTGATTACTCTCCGATGGCAGACTAATGCCTCAGCTCGGTGCCTGCCAGTCAAATCAATGAAAGTGGAAACATGATCGGAAAGCTGAAGTGCTGTGGGCAAAGACAAACATGCCACAGCAATAAAGCCGTCATCTAAACTAACCGTCCCTGTGTCGCACTCACTCCATTAAAAAAAACAAAGGGGCTGCAGGGAAGTGAGGAGCAAGGAGAGCACACTAAAAAAAATGAATTTTGGCCCCTCAGCTTGTCAATCTAAAAGCGACAGGTACATTTCTCCAGGAATATGTTTCCTGTTGAGTGACAGTTACAAGTACTGGTTAAAGAAATACGTCTAAATAATTGGTATAGATATAATGTGGTGAAATCTGTGCTGTGAAAAGAAGTGTGCCACACAGACGTAAAAAAAAAAAAAAAAAAACTCCTTCTCCAGGCTATAATTTTTCCTCAAAGGTTACATTAGATTTATTCCAGTTGAGCTTGTCGCAAATGGATTTGAAATAAGCATCACTGATTACATTTGATGCTGCTGAGCATCATTGATTTTGGATCATTAGAGTAGACCCTTAATAGCCTGAGTCCTTCGGTGGTAATAAGCAGTGAGGGCATGACTAACCCGGGAGTTAAAGAGGAGGAAAACTTCCTTCATACTGCTTTCAACGTTAGCACAGCAGATTGATTCCTGACTCGATGCATTTCAAATCATAGCTAAAAACTCTACTGGGAACTTAAGAGTTAAGAACTCAAAAACTATAGATTAAAAAAAATAACTGGTATCTAAAAAGCAACACATGAAATTATTATTATTATTATTTATTTTTTTTATGTGAAACAAGCTGTTCAAATGTGTTATTTTCCATCACTGTGGCTGCAGGTAGACACTTCTGTGGCTCAACTACGGTGTGCCAAAAAGGACAAAATAGCAACACAATTGATGAGATTTTTTTAAATGAATGCGTTCATTTCAGACTCTAATCTCATCGTGATTAGCACGTTAACGCTGACGCCGTTTAAGTCTAAACTGTGTGCTATAAAAATAAACACGAGTAAACATTGTTAATCAAATGTGTGACTTAAAAAGTAATAAAAACTTTTGAAGAGGAAAAAGTAGAGAATCGATACGAGCAGAATGTTTGATGCCTCTGAACATTATGTACAAACTTTGAGAAGACACTGTTATTATTGTGATTAAACAAAAGGTGAGCAAAGCAGCTTCAGGCCACAAAAGTGTGCATAATGATTTACTAAGCTCCTTGTCCTTGTAGAGTACTATTGACATTCCTTAACAGAAGCTCTGCCATGGAAAAGCTAACTGTCTATGATGATGAACTGGTACTGCAAAAAGGGCTGAGCAAGAGCTTCTGATGACTGAAGCAGTCGTCTGTGAAAATGACCTCCTGGCTGTGCATGCTAAATACAAACGCTGAGAATCCAGCGCGCTTAGATTGCACTAAAGTTTCGATAAGTAAGGAGTTTAATTTATCTAAGGACACGCTGGACATTAAAGAGGACATATTATACCATCTTTTCAAACAGTCCCCTGTGGTCTAAATGAAACATCTGTGCTGTGGTCAAAATATGACATGAATCAAGCAGCAGAGGAGGTTTGTGACCCTGTATAAACCAGCTCTCTCAGAACGCTCCGTTTTGGTGTGTGTGTCTCTTTAAATGCTATGAGCCCCCCCAAAAGTTTTCCCAGTAGACATCACTCCTTCACTAGCAAGAATAAAAATGGCGGACCTGCGAAAAGGCTGGGGGTGGAGTCCATAGGTGGAGATATCAGGGGAGGGGAGTTTATTTTTTACCAGAATCCCACTGTGACATCACAAGGAGAGCAAATTTGAAACTGAGCATTTTTTTCTGTGTTATAAGACTTACGCAGACCACAAACAAAGAACTGGATCGGATTATTTCACATTTTGTGGGTCAGTAGACACTCAGGTTAACCAAATATATGTTCAAAAACACTGTAAAAGTGGATTTTTCACAATATGTCCCCTTTAAAGAATTCAAATAATGAAATCGATCAGTGAGTTAAGAAGTAGCTGACATATTTAAAATAAATAATCTGTAAGGAGTCACATGTGTTCAGTTGTCCCTTTAAATTGAGGTGAATCATCAGTCCCTATAACCCTCAGTTAATTTGTATGTTGCCAGTGAAATCCCTCAACTTCTTTAGCTGTGTCACAGTAAAAGACATTTGGCAGGCTGTAATCTTTAAAAAGCAGAAGATCCTTCAGTCTTTTTTGTTTAGGGATTGAATAACTTGTAGAGGTCTCCTCTACTCCTCTACTAAAAAACAATCAGACCAGGAAGAACTGGTTCAACAGTGAGTGAAGCTGTTTCAAGGCACATTTCTGTCTCTGATGCTCTTCATTAAGGTTTGGGGGTCAACAAGCCAACCTTCTGCTTAGACTATTAGCTTTAGTCACTTAATCAGCTTCTAAAACTGTTTGCACCCCGATCATTTGGGGAATAACCAAACCAGTTTGGATGGAAAGTCATAATTAAGGGAAAATAAATAAATAAAGTGCATTCACGCCAGGTTAACATTAAGGGTGGGAATCTAAGTGAAACTCACGGTACTTTACCAGCACCTGCAATTCCATAAGTGTCACACCACATAGGATGACAACAGGTCGCTGTATTGGTATTTTTTCACATCATTAAATAAAGTGTGAATTAGTTTTCTGGCCAGCATAAGCCTCTCGGCTGGGTGGCACATCACAGTAAACTAGACCAGCACAGAAAGGCCTTATAAACAAATCAAGTCTCAGCTGGATAACTGTGTTGGGAAAATGTTGAGAAAGCAATAAAATAAAAATAAAAGATTCTGTGCGAGTTAAAAAAGTGCTGTTTTACAATCAGTGAGCATTGTTTGATATTTCATGGTTTTATGACGACCCTCGGGGCATGCGTAACTCTTTATTTGTTACTAAGAGTTATATTGTAGTATATCCCCATGCTGTGACTTCTTTATTTGAATCATGAAGAAATGTGGGCTTATACACAGCTGGTTCAACAGGTCTCATGTGTATGAAAGAACGTTGATTTTTCTTCTGTGACATTCTTAACTGGTCCACTAGAGTGAAGCGCTGTATCCTCCGCTGAGTGGAAAGAAAAGCTGAAGTGAATACTTCTCTTTGTATCACATGCCTGCAGCCTTTTCACAGCCCTCTAGCAGAGCCTTTTAGCTTCATGCATCAAGGAAAATTCCCAGTTGTGCATTTTTCTGTATGGTGTGAAACTGCATTCATAATATCTCAAAGAAAGGTAATTCTTTTTCTTAAAGACATCCAATTTAAAGGGATACAGTTAAGAACGGCTGCAAGTCAAATACATTTTTATAAAAAAAAAAAAACTATCAGACTGCAGTCTATCCATCCAACAGAAGTCTATCCATCATCTATATCACTATTCCCATTCAGGGTCACAGGGGGCTGGAGCTGAACCCAGCTGTCATTGGGCGAGAGGCGGGGTACACCATGGACATCACATTTACCTATGAGCAATTTTAGAGTCACCAATTGACCTTATGATCATGTCTTTGGACAGTTAGAGGAAGCTGGGGTACCCGTAGGGAACTCACACATGCACAGTAAGAACATGCAATCCAACTGGGATTCGGACCAGGTACCTCCTCGCTATGAGGCAACAGTGCTAACCACTGCACCACTGTGCGCAGCCTTATAATCACAATAATTATAATATTATCATAATTGTGCGCACAGATTTGATTTTTTTTTTTCACTTTTTTGAGGGACTTCAGGGGCTCCATATCATTGTTATGCTTATGGTGAAAAAAAGTATTTTCATCATATGTTGGTCCATAAGACAAAAATTGAGGTTCATTGGTGAGCAACATTATAAAGTGAACTTAAAGGAGAAACTTGAACTTCAAATTACAGAAACACAAAACAGAACATGTGATTGTAATCAGATCCTCTCTGAATCTTTGAGCCATTTGTACATGAGAAAGTTGATTTAAGCAGGCACGGCTGTTGTATTCATTTGCTGTTGGAGCTGAGGGCCTAACAAAGGATTTCATGCCTGTCCATATCTATAATAACCACGTCTTGGAAGCAAGAACGGAGCTTTCGGAAATCTTGATAAAATTATGCATCGCTGTACTGTGAGTTAATACATCACAGAAAAGTTTCTCATTAAACCCTACGGTGACTTCTTTGAACCACTTCAAGATTAGTTTTCTTAAAAAAGGACACGAGGAAACTCTTTTGATGGAAAGTTAAGAACATATTTTTTTTTAAAGTTTGATACAGAGTCTTCTTTGAACCTGTCAAACTCAGCTTTAGAAAACAGCATCATCTAATATAGTACAGATAAATAAACTGATAGTCCCGGTCTTAGTCTGATTACTAACTTTGTCAAATATGTGTCTTAACTTTCGCCTTCTTTGCCCTTTCTAAACAACTGCACGCTAACAGGGAGATAGCTATCCACCTCTCACCAACTCAAAACGCCATCTGCACGTAGAATGACTGACAGACGTTTCTCACCTGTTGTCAGATGGTAGGAGGGAAAGCAGAGCGAGCGATGACAGCTTTCTCCTTTCAGGCTGAGTGATGTTGTCCATGCGGTCCACCCACATCTCTATCACACTGCCTAACAACTGGTCCATCTGATGACGAGGGACAAGGATGAATACAGAGAGATGGGAGGGAGGGGAGAGGAGAGAGAAGAAGGGTTAATATGGAGGAATGAAAACAGGAGACAAAAAATTTAACAGAATATAAGAGTCAAAATAAAAGTGCTCAACCACTGTGGATAGTGTACCGACACATTTTACTTAAAGCTCCTTTGAGACATTTTTGATTGGTTTTAAAATTTATTGAAATTAATATTGATGATTATTGATTAACTTTAAAAGAAACAGAGATCATCAGCATAAACACTGACTATTTCTATACAATTAGTTTTATTGCTGCACTGATAGAATCGGATGGTTTTTATGCGTGTAATCCTGAAATCCCTCCCTCCTCACCTCTCTGGCCATGTCGAATTTGCACTTCTCTACTTCCCTTAAGTATGTGTGCGCTCCTCGTTTCTCATAGACCGGGTAATAGTCGTGAATCTGAATCGGTGCATCTCTAGTTTGTCTTTATGCCTATAGCTGCTGCCACAGGGTAGGTCTCTTTTTTTTCTTTAACTAACTACTCCGCCACCGGTGTCCTGACAGGAGCTTTAAAATTTATAAAAAATGTGTCTGTATCGGTTAAAGTCGGTTAACTGACCTTCCCTGCTTCTTCTGCCTAAATTGTCTTCTCTCAAAGAAAAGAGCTTGAATTGATGTAGAGACGACACTCAAGTCATTTATTGAGATTAGGTGAACAAGGTTGAAAGGAAGCAGTGTCAGAGTGTGTCAGAGTTTCAAAGTTAAGGACAGATCTCTGAACTCTGGGACTGAAAGTGAGAGTGAAACCCTTTTCTGTTTCCTTGGCTCATTACATTTTATGCCATTTTAAAACGGTACTTTGCAGTTATGTCTTTCATATACATTCAAAGAGACTTTCGCTGAGGTGAAAGAAATGAAGGACGGACTCGGAGCCTCACCTTCTGGCTGCACTCAGAGGCCATTTGAGTGAGCAGAGAGGAGAAGAAACTGGAGTTCTGCAGCAGGACGCGGCCCATGATTCCTAGGTAGGTGGACATCACCACGGGATATCTCTGTTCCAAAGACACACACACACACACAGACACATAGCGTGTGAGTACACCATCATGCATGCTTACTGCAGGGACATAACCACGGACCAATGCTTTGCAAAGGTCATTAAGTATGATGAGGATAAAGGAGATCGATACACTGACACAGCAGAATCCTTGAACGGCAGACGTTTAAACCTTTGTAAGAGATAAATTATATTAAATGTCACCATAATCACCGTAAGGGTTCATTTTTACTGGACAGAAAAGGACAAAGTGACAGAGCTGCAGGAACTGCTCGCATTAACTGGATATTTTAAGCTTTTCTAAGGTTACATTTAGAATCGTTTGATAAAAGATGTTGAAAAAAAACAGGTGTAATGCACAGGAGGTGATATGACATGCCAGTCCTGGTTTGTCTTTTTTTTTTTTTTTACATAACCCCAGTCCAGGTTTGTATAAGACGTGAAGGCAAAACTCACCTCACCGTCCACGATTCCTCTGAAGACAGCTGGCAGCAGGGGCTGGAACATGTGGGCTCCCAGTATGGGGCTAACCTTTAAAGCTATCTCCACCACCTGCCGAGACAGACGGAGAGGGGAGGATGAGGGACTGTACAGCAATGAGGATAAACAGGAGAACAGGAGAGCGAACTCAGAAGACACAGGAGAGAACGCAGAAAGGGTCGGATACAGAATGATGTAACAGCAGAACAAAGTGAGAGACGTACAAAAAAAAAAAGAAAGACTGAGGGTGGTACAGTGAAAGGCAGTTAAAATCTCTTTACTTTAAAAATAAATCTGAATTGAATGTATTAAATAGAGGCGATGCAAATTCACATAGTTTCAACACAGAGCATGAAACTGATGTTCTGCATAGAGTTTATAGCTGTTGTTCATTAACAACCCTTTTCCCGTTAAAAAAAGATCTATAGTATTAAAGAATATATATTCAAATTCCTTAAGTAAAGCAACAATAAAGAAGGCAGCGACTGAGGATTTTTTTTTTTTGTAGAAATTCATCCCCTGTACAGTTTTTTACAAATTTAAAAATAAGCTAATGAGACCTTCTTAAACCAGGCTATAAACATGTTTAATTCTGCTGTAAAAACAGTCATTTGAATATGGTATTTAATGGGGATTCCCCAGCTTTTGCAGCCGGCCTCAGGTGGACACAGGAGGAACTGCAGTTCCTCTTTGCACATCTTCATTGGCCTCTTCTTTCAACACTGGAGGGTTGCATCTTGGTCTCTGCACACAGCATCATTTGTTGGAGGCACACGTGGCGTTAACAAGTGCAACCCTACAACACAATCTTGGAAAAGATCCTAATATCATGCAAATAAAAAAAAACAGCATTTTATTTCACACATTTTAAAAGCTCCTAGTAAAAAAAAAAACATGCTGGTGTTGTTATTTTAGTGCACTAGGGTGGAGAACTATTTGAATGGACAGGGATTAGACCGAGGGCAAATCCGTGAAGTATCATTTTATCGTCATTAGGTTTCCCATAATCAGTCTACACAATGACTATAGAACACAGCAGCAGGGTGATGTAAAACTGCAACATTACTAATGGCATTTTAACAAATTAAAGCCTCGAATGAGAATATTTAACTCAAAGGTCAGCGACCACAAGCAGAGGCAGGGAGACAGACAGTGAGGTGCTGTGATGCATGTGAACTTTTCAAAGAAGTGCACACTGATTACTCTAAATCCTCTGTTCTCAGGGTGCTTGCGTGCGGTGAGCTGCTGTGTGACGCTGTGTGGGTTGACAGCTTTATTGTCTTGCTGGCTCTCCTCTCCTCAGAACAAAGGATTAGCAAGAGCCAGATGTGCTTTAATGCTACAGAGCTTTCTTAAGCTAAAGCTCGATTTTCCTATTGCCATTCAGCACACTGAAACTACTGGAGCAGTGCAAAGCGGTAGTTGTAGTCTAGTTTCAGCCGCACGCTGACAAACTTATAATGCTGTGCTAGTCGGGGTTCCTTTAGACCATGCTGAACCATGAACACAAAATCAATTGAGACTCTGAATAACAGCTGATGAAGGATGTGCTGAGAGGTCGCTGCTGTCAGAAACTGTTTAAGGGCGTTTTCACACTAGGCACGATTGCTCCGCCCTCCCTTCTCCCCCACTGCTCTGCGTTCACATTAGTAACATCGTACCGTACCCGAGTACACTTGTGTATGAACACCATCCGATACAGCAGGGGGCAGTATGCACAAAATTGGTTTTCAAATCCGCCATGACACGGTACACAAGAAGAAGCAAAAACGGTAACCACTCGCAGACTGAGACCATCCTGCTAACCGTGGATGTTCATGTGAATTCTGAGACACGGACAAAGACCCTCTTTTTATTTCAACATGTGCCGTACAGCTACAGCTTTGAAGCGATAGGAGACGTTTAGAATAATGTCATATAGCAGTCCACTTGCTTGTTTGAGCACGGTTGCGTTCACATCTCCCGCTGACCGCACTCGAGTACACATGAATCGTGCCTGAGACCACCCTCTTTAAGCAGTATGGTAAGTTGTTCACACTGATCAAATGAGGACAGACTCCGGGGCCAAGTGTACTCGGATCCAAGTCCGGGTCCCTAATGTGAAATCACCCTAAGTATTCAAGGAGGTTGTTACATGGAATGGATTGCTGTTATGTGATGTATTGTGGTTAATTATCCGTCAAAACTGCTGGACGGAAGCAAGACACATTTCCTACAGAGACATTAAAGTATATCTAAAAAAAAAAAAACAGGAAGTCCAGCCTGCAAGTAGTGAAACAAGTACCTTTTTAGGCGAGAAACACTGCGAACATCTTAAGGCTCAACAGAACCTCAACAGGAACAAGGTAGGTACTGTACCTACTTAAGGTGAATGACTTATTCTATACAGCTTTGTTACCCTCTACTTCAAAGGCATTGTTTTGATGTTCGGAGGTAAAGATAAAAGGTAAAGACAGAGGTAGCTGTCAGGACTGAGTTGAAGAATAGGTTGTTGTTAAGAAAGAAATATTCATAGTGAGAAAAGCAAGACTGGAGTGGCATTATAATCTGCTCTCAATGCACATTCAGCACTGAATCTTTCTGCTTCTGTTTGTGTATATGTGCATATAGCCTTTTATGCTACCTCTGATTCACCTGCGAATCACAGAGTCACACTGACAGAGAAAACAAACATTGGGTTGGAACATAAAGGAGGGGTAGGCTGAAAGAATAATCCCTGAGGAGAATAAACAGAAGTTAGTTAGTTCTGTGTCTGAGGAGGAGACGGTGACAGTACCTTGAGCACTTGGACCTGTCCTTCATTGGTGATGTCTTTCAGTAGATCACAGAAAGATCGACACAATGATTCTGCATAGTTCTGTGGGGGAATAAAGACATTAGTGGGGAAGTTTTGAAAATGTGTTGGTTTTGTCAGCGTCAGTGTCTCGGTGTGCGTGCCTCACCTGCAGGAACTCGGTAGCAGACAGGTATAGATAGGCGTTCATGATCTGAAAGCAGGTGCGTAGGTTCTCCGAGCTCATCTCTGAAACAGAACATCACATGTTGCACTTTATTAAACTGGAGAAAGAGTCAAATTGATGAGTGCAGGGAAGGTTAGGAGAAGAAATGCAGGCTGAGAGGGAATAGAAATGCATTTTCTTGATGAATGACCCAGTTGAATATTAAGAATGAATTGCATACTAGATTTATGGTTTTCCTGGATTTGTTCACCGGGAGTAATTATTGAACACGCGCAAAATGTACCGTCTTTACAGCGGGGCGGATAAAGATTAGGAAACATGTCTTAAATGAATTCTGTGTGACTCATAGCGGTATGAAAAACAACAGATAAAGGGAAAAAAAAGCCTTTGGGGAGCAGGGGTATTTATATCAGCCGCTCTATATCCATTGATCTTTAATAATAGAGCAGAAGAAAAATAAAGCTTGAGAATAAGAAAGCTTACACATATGAGAAATCACCAAAAAAGGTTATATAGGAGAAAAGGTTTCATTTTGTTCTCTAAGATGAGGGGATAAGTTTACTGGATATTCACAACAACTTTTATTCGTAATATGGTGTCACCACAGAACGACCCCTCTAACTAAAATACAACCAACATCAAACTCGATCCTCACGTCGAGCGTCCCTGGATGCGCGGCTCTATTTACAAAAACCAAGAGCTAAATTAATCAAAAGGCAGTTGCCTGTAAAACATCGTTATTCCAGCTCTAAATAATGTCTACTTTGTGTCTGGTGTTTGTCTGACCTTTGCCGTCTACGTTTCTGTTAACACAGACAATGTGAAGCCACACATATTACTGAAGAATGAGAACTGTAAAGATGCTGTTTACACAATGTCTGTAGCGTTAACCTGAGTGCTACACTGCCTGTGTATATTATTATTCTCCCTAGGCCTGTGAAGGCTGTTTCATCATGAGCCGGGGATCAAGCCGAAGATTTCTGCCTTTTAAGAAGGCAGTTTTTTCTTACCACTGTAACTTTTGCTGCTTTGCTAAAGTGCTCATGATGGATAGGCCGGGTCTTTGTAATATAACAATATGTAAGGTCTTGTGCCTGCTTTATGTAACATAACAATGAGTAAGGTCTTTTTACCTGCTCTTTTGTAATGTTAACAGACAAAGAGTAAGGTCTTTTACCTGCTTTTTGTAAAGTGTCTCAAGATAACACTTGTTATGAGTTGACGCTATACAAATATAAATTGATTGATTGATTAAATAGCAGTTACAATCAAAGAAGCTTTAAGTGTAACCTTAAAAATGATTCACTCCACTGAGGGTAAAAATGAGGCATTCAGCAACAATATGCTAATACATGAGGAAGAAAAGATGCCCTGAAGGTAGTATTACCAAAAACAGTTTGGACAGTTTTTTTTAGACAATTACCGTACACACTGTTAGGCCTGAATGCAAAGAATTGACTTTTTCAACTAACTGTGTGTCAGTGTTGGAGTCAGACGTTAAGTGCAGATGTTAATGGCCTCTTAATCCAGAGGGCAGAGAGAAAACAACCCTCACTGATACGACAACTTGTGTCATTCTAAATTGAACATGCCAGTATGTGCAAATCTATTAGGAAGGAGGAGGGAGAGTTTCACAAAATGGTATAAAGTAAAAGTAAAGCTTTATTAAAAACAGAAAGGGATGCGGGGAGCTGCCACCAATAACCGAAAAGAGAAGTTTTGAAGCCAAACATATTCACTGATCAGCCATCTGACAAGTAAAGTGCTTAACTTGAATCATCTCTTTACGATGGGACCTTTCAGGGAGCGGGATATGTTGTGAACCAAGTAAACATTTTGTCCTCAAAGATGGTGCCTCAGAAGCAAGAAAAATGAACCAGGGTAGTGAGCGACTCTGACATAGATCAAATGGTGATGGCTAGACGACAGGGTCTTCAAAACTGCAGCTCTACTCTGCAGTGGTGAGTAACTCACAAAAATAGTCCAAGGAAGTAAAAAAGTTAATCTGGGGACAGGGTCATGGATGGAAAAAGACCCACTGATGCACATGGGGAGCGAAGGCCGGCCCATGTGGTTCGATTCGACAGAAGAGCTATTGGAAAAAAAAAAAACAACCTAATGCTGGTTCTGATAGAAAGTTGTCAGAACACACGGTGCATCAAAGGATAGGGCTGCATATCCATGGACCAGTCAGAGTACCCAAGCTGACCCCTGTCCACCAGCTAAGCGACTATACAATGGGCAAACGAGCGTCAGAAATGGAGCACAGAGCACTGGAAGAAGGTGGCCTGGAAGAACAAGACAATGACTACAATCTGTTGACTCCTGCGCAAACCAATCGCCCAGATCTCAGTCCAATTGACTGGAGGACTGGACAAACAAGTCTACAGTGGAGTCAATGTCTTGTTGGGTTAGATCTGTTCCAGCTGTGACCTGACGAGAGGGAGGCCTACACCGTATTAGGCAGGTGGTAATCACATTGTTAGGACCGATCTGTGTGTACACTCAGAATATGTTTGACAGTATATGAGCTGGCATGGTAACAGAAAACAGCTAGAAAGGCCTAAGTAATAGGCAAACATTCAAACACAGGTTAAACACAAGCTACTGAAGAGGACCAGAAAGTTCCTTGGAAAGTTGGACGTACAGAAACTTCAACACCAACAGACACCTGCATGCTGACACAAGCACCCACACAGCACCTATTCATACACCGAGACTAACATCTGCATTAATATTTGAAAGTAATAAGTCCTGACAGTGTAGCTGACTAACACCTCGGATAGATGTTTACTTCATTCAAGTTGACAGGGAAGCTAATTCATGACACCCAGGGACAGCAGTGCATTCACTCAGGGGACAGGTATTATGTAGAAATACATCTAATAAAAAGTATTTCTAAATATGAAAAAAAGTTAAGTAAAGTTGGAGGTGATAAAACTCTGAAAAGTAATTTTGTATTCGCTTTATTTGAGGGTATTGTTTTACTTACATAAGGTCACGACCCATCAAAGGAGCCCTTGGTTAAATATCAGGGGTAAACAGATGATTAAAAGGCATTTTTTTTTGCATAATATTAATTCTTTGGGCCATTTATTATTCATAAATTACTCAACCCCTGAAGGAAAAATAATCACACTTTCTTTGTTAGCTCACAGCTCTTTCTTGTGGTGTTCAGGAACTGAAGGTTTCCACTTTTTGTTTATTTATTCTTTTGTATTTAACCTTAATCTAACCTGGAGAGAAAACGTGTGGAGACTAAAAATCTCTCTCCAAAGAATGTCTTTGCAAAGTCAGGCAGCAGCACAGTTCACAAAGTTTCTGACAAACAATGAGCAGCCGTACACATACAATATTACAAAGGTACATGACTATTATACTTTAAAAGGCATGAAAGTAAAACAGCAAATGTTTGTCAAAATGGACCACAATCATATGCAGAATATCTAAAGCCAGATATACCTGCCTCAAGGTCATTCATAAGTACCTTAATTAGACTGAAAAAAGGTATTTACTGTAACTTATATCTCGCCCTTTTGACAAAAAAGCAACCTGCTGTCTCACTCTGTGCCTCGAGGTAATGTCTTCTTTTTGGTAATGTTAAATGTTAAATGGACTTGAGCTTGCATAGCACTTTTCTAGTCTTCTACCTGAGGGAATCTTTTATGGGTTTAGGAAAAAATTGTCACTTTAAAAGGTCACATATTATGCAAAATACACACTACCATGTTTTTTTTCTAATACTAATATGTGTCCCGAGCCTTTCCACAAACCCCCCACTTATGAGAAAAGTCCACTCTCTGTCTTTTTTCTGCTCCACTTTTCAGATAAATGTTTGCTCAAACAGGTTGTTGGGAGAATGTCCCTTCATGACATCACAAAGGGCAGTAACCCCTCCCCAAGGTGGGTGACAGCTAGGTATTTGTTCTGTCCTCTGAGCCACCCAAGCCCTTCCGGAGAGGGGCGTGGTCGACCATAGCTCATTTGCATTTAAAGCTACAGACACAGAAACAGTCTGTTCTAAACAGGGCTGAAATAGAGGGGTTTATAGGCATGAACAAATACAGGATCAGAGTGACTTTTTGGCAAGAAACTTCACAGACATGTTTTAAGGACTTCTGAGACTTATTTAAACTGGTTTGAAAGGAGTATTAAATGTGACATTTAAATCAAAGAACTCAAACCTCCAATACATGCATGTTATCACTCTGATACTGTAATATTCCTTCGTTGCATGGTCTTGTTATTCTATGAAACAAAAGCTTAAGTTATGAGTGGAGATAGCAGGTGGACACAGCTACATTTACATCATAAAGTGTGTTTCTGCACAAAGCTTAAGTTTAGAACAAACCTTCCAAATCAGAGTTTTAAAAAAACTACTTATCAAACTTATCTAAGCAAGGTGCATGTACGGGTATTTTTAAAGGAGTTCCAGTCTGGACCATGTGGTCCATACAGGTGATATTAAGGTTGATATAAGCAATGTGCTTCCTGCAGCCATCTGCCAGCCACAGTAAAGTACGGTAATGAAGATAATGTATGCAGCCATCTGCTTTCTGTGCAGGTACTAAATGTATTCCAGGGGCCCATTTAGTCAGCAGATAAGCCTGTATGAATATTCAACACTACAAATGAAGCAAGGAGCAAAAAATTATGCTTTACATATGCACGAACAGAGATGTGAGCAAAGATCACAGAAAAGACAGTGATGGCTTTTAAAACCAAACCAACTTCAAGGACGTGTGCAGAAAAAACAAAAAGAAACAGCAATAAGCAAACACAACAAGAGTAATGGTTCAAAAAGGTCAAAGTGACATCAAGTGTGTAGTAAAGCAGTTGTCCTGCTGTTCCCGCTGTCATTTTAAGCAATATGGGTACTGGAACGTAGAGAACATCACTGAGAAACAGACGAGGGAAAAGATGAAAGCGCCACTACAAATGATTTCCTGTGGTTAGGACAGGCCGTTCATTTTTTTAAAGAATAAAGTAAAGGCAACAGATTGCTTAACAGTGGGTGAACAAGGACACACAGAGTCATCAGACAGGGTAAGGATGACAGGAC